CATGTGGCATATTTATCATTGAGCAGGAAACGTCGCGCTCCGCACGATATCCCTGCCATACTCATATTGGTTAATAAAGAGATTTACCAATTTGGGGTGCTTGTCATTCTAATTTTGAACAGACTGCGTTAAATTTCCGGAATAGAATCATTCTTCGCTTGGGTTGGTACACCGCAGAACTTTTAGTCCTATGCAATCCAGATGGGAAAGTGACCAAAAAAAAAAAAAAAAAAAAAAAAAAAAAAAAAAAAAAGTCCGTTGCTTGCTTTGCTGCGAACTGTAACGGTTTCAATATTTGAGATTTTGCGGAGAAAGGGGCAACCCCCAACTTCCATACTGTATAATGCATTGGAAAAAAAAAATTGACTATTCGATTACTTTCACTTTATTTATGCCATTCCGAATATTATTCTTTTGAAAACAAATTTGTGTTAAAACACACTTACCCATTTTTGAAGTTATTTCAGCAGTTACTGCAAATATAATATTATAAATATTCATACATATATTCATAATATAAGCACACTGATCATAATAAACGTGAATATGAACTTGCCATGCGGAACGAGAATGTAAATTATTAAAATCTTTATAGAAATTCAAACGTGTGTAGTATTGGGTGGGAGCAAAAGAATACGGAATTTTCTACCACTTTCGTAATTCTTTGACCAATAGAGTGACATGCACATTATGTTAATGCAGAGAAAGGGGCAGAAAGCTATTTCTGGGATTATGATTCACCATCTGACATTCCATATAAGTAAGTAAGTTGCTTATTTAGTTTCGGCTTTGGTACGGAAAAAAAATGTACGTTCGTAAAAAAAAAAAAAAAAAAAGTCCTTTAGAGGAAAAATAAGCACCTATAAGGGCTTTTATATTTTATTTTCAAATATAAGGACTCATAATCACTTGTAAGGACCGCTACGAACCCTGTTTAAAAATCTAATAAAATTTGAAAAATGCTTGCTCTTAAATTCCAAAAAACAATCATATGAAAAGTAATTTAATCCTACCTGTATTAAAACAAACTGGTAATTTAAAAAGGGAATCCAGATTAGACTGACACAGACACATAAATTGAAAACCTTCAGCAAAATATTCTTGAGAATCATTCGTACTGATATAATACCACAGTGAAATCATAAAACCTATCCAGATTGCTCAAAAACTCCTGCAGCAGCACGTAAAACTGTAGGACACTTCATTCAGATAAGTTCTGAACCACAAGATTTTATAAGTTGAGATGTGTCTTCCTTACAAAATCATGGGCAAAAACACAACCAGTTTTCAATACAACTGTAATGCACAGTGCACCAATGTAATTCTTACTTTATGACACCAAATATTGTGATGTTTTATATCCATTAGACTCCATCAGAAGGTCATTAGAAAGGTTCAAGAATCATGAAATTTCAGCTAAAAGTTAAAATCAACTTTGACATTTAAAAAAGGAACTTGCATCTTGCAAGAGTAGTATTTAAACATTAACACACCCGATACCAAGACATCGGCAATGAACAGGCAAAATACAGTGAGTAGTAAGTCTTAGTGAAATTTTTATCCTTGAGCTATGGCAAGCACATATGCATAGTATTTAAACATTAACGCACCCAAATACCAGACATCGGCAATGAACAGGCAAAATACGGTAAGTAGTAAGTCTTGGTGAAATTTTTATCCTTGAGCTATGGCAAGCACATATGCATATTATGGGACAGAAATTATGTTACCACTCACTGCAATGAGGATTTTTGCCATAAGTTTATAAATGATTCATTATTTCAAACACAATTATTTTCTATTTTAAATTTTATAATCTCTACATGTTGTCTTACTAGATTTAAACTATGACAAAAAATCTGGAATTAACAAAATTTCTATACATGTACCTCGAGCTTTTTATTATATTACTTATTCCATGCATAATAACATTAATGCTTTAATTCTCATACATGAAACCAGTAAAGAAGTTTGGAAAATTATTCTTCCATGTAACATGCAAAGAAAAGTTTAAGAAGTAGAATAATTAAGGTAATATATAATAGTTCAAGATGTGCATGCAGAAGGACAGTATTATTTTTTTTATATAATACAGTATTTAAAACCTTCTGTGTTCAATTACTACATCTAAGCTGTTGTGGTTACATTCAGCGATATAATAATCTAAATATTACTTTTTTTTTTCAAGTAACCTCAAAGTGTAAATGGATTTTTCCATTTTTTTAACTTTAGTTTTAAATAATAATTCTCTTTTTCCAAAAAATATTTGCACACTTTTAGGGTGACTCATTAAGAATTATACTTGTAGACTCATTAAGAATTATACTGGCACATATTTTGCTAACAATCAATTATACTGCAAATATATTATGCGGAAATATTTCTGATTGAATTTTCCCCCCACACTCTACATAAACTAGTACAGTCAAAAGTCTTTAATCTGGATGTCCATAATCCGGAATGATCTGTAATCTGGACTCACAGCTACAAACTTTCTGCGCATGTGCATAATACCTTTACGCATGCGCATATGCGTCTACGTATCTGCATAATAGGTTTATGCATGTGCGTTTAATGTATAACGGATGGTATAAGCTAAGCTAAAATTATGTATTTATCTATTTCAGTTAATGTTGCAGATTGCGTTGTTCCTTAATCTTCTAATTGGATCTGGCTTATTATTTTTTGCAGACTCTTAGAGAGCAATCTTATAAAAGTAAGCTTAAACTTTCGATTATGTCAAAAAGAATTTCCCATTCTGGAGCTACCAAAGGCCGATTCTGGAGCTACAAAGCGAAAGCATGTTTCAATGTCCATCAAACAAAAAGTGGAATAGCTGCAAAAAATGGATAAAGGCATATCTTTTGATTCTCTAATCATTCCGAAATATGTTTATCAATTTCACGCTGCTCAGGGGGGGGGACAATGCGGCATGCAATGAACTGGAAGTTGATCTGTCAGCACTATCCTTATCTTCAGGGCAGATGTTTTTATTTTATTTGGCTTATAATTCCATACTAAATGTAGTATTTCATCTCAATGTACTCTGTCTTTGATATGATTTAAATCAAATTCCTCGTCATTATAAATATCACGAATACACATCAAATAGTTTTCTGGTTGCAATTTTCTAATTTCGACTATGCGTAATGTATGCTTTACGGATGCGCGCGTTCAAAGAAATGTTTAATAAAGTAAACAAATAAATATAAAGTGCTTTTTTTTTTTGTAAATTTTGATACCCTTTAGATCAGATCTTTAGATATTCCTCTTTATTTCATAAATTATGGTTTCTTATTTTTAATTTTATAATTTCTGCATTTTTGAAATTCCACTTTATTTGCTTCACTACAAATCCTAATGATGAAATCAAGTGTCACTTTTGGAAGTGGTATAGCCAACTAGCAGAACAAATGAAATCTTGAATGTCTAAATTTTTTGCTTTTGATCATCTACTTAAAGGCAAATTGGAAGCACACAAAATTATTAAACCATTTTAGAAGTAAGTTTCATACTTAGCACTACAAAGTTGTTTAGATTTGCTCCTGGAACATGATGCAGAAACTTTAAAAAGTTATTTTGGATATTGTGGATAATGTTAAATTTGACAATTCCATACTTTTCCGGCAATTGTACTTTCTCCAATACACCATGGTCTACTTACTCTAGGATTTTTAGTTTTGTTTGCAGATCTATGTTCGTCTTCTTTATCATGGCCTCTTAATGCTGACAATTTAATGTTTATTGTTAATTGTCGAGCCCCAAAACCTAACAGTGTGTCAGCTACAGGTCTGTTGAACAGTGCCAATAGAACTTTCGAAGAATAAAGACATGCTGGTGCAAAGTCACATGTAAGTAAACTACAGTTCAGTAAATTAATGTAAATATTTTATTGGAAATGCAATTCTTTAAATTTTAACTTGAACTTTCAAGCAATGTTTCTCATACTGGCCATTTTGTAAAGAATACAATGTATTCCATGAGGTTTTCACTTAAATGGGACGGAACATTTCTGAACACAGCTCTAGCAGAGAAACAACAGGAAAAAAGTATGAAAAACTTTGAAAGTTCATGTTACATGATAAAATCTAATGATACAAATGGACTAAAAACAGTTTGCAATCCGTGTTAACCAATAAAACATCTTATAAGATCTCATATGACCATGCCACTGCCAACACTGAATTTTTTTTCCTGTTAACCAAGTGTTTGCCTTAAGCAAGTTCTTGTTACGAGGGTTTTAATGTATAAATGTGAAATAAGTTAAAAAAATAGTTTTAAAAAAAATCATTTGAGTAAATCATTTTGAGTAATTTCATTTGCTTCTCTCATTTTCAACTCTCATAAGCTCTGTGCTCCTCTGATTTAACACTGATGGATATTTGGCCATGAGTTTACGTTATATTCAGGTCGTCTGCCTTCTGAGTAGCTAAAGAAACGCATAATAAGATATATATAGAACATCTCAGATGATCATGCCATTGTTGTTTCCACTGGTGACCATATGTAGTATATCCTTAATAGCAACAATGGATATTTGTAACATCTTTATAATTAAAAAATACTTTTCTTTATCCTTTTTTAGATCCTTCATGGCTTCTATTACTTTCCCTGCATTGCCATTTCCCCATTTAAAACAATAATTCTGTAGTTTTTTATTATACCATTCCACGTGTTATAATCTTTTCTGTTATGCAAAATCTCAGTAATTGAACTGAAAATTTTTGTAATGTGGCTAAGTAAACTGTGATAAATATTATCCCTACTTCTGTACATCACAAACCATGACACCATTGACTATCCTGCAAAAGCTACAACAGAATCCCTCACTTTCTATATCCCCGAAAACACTTTTAATTAATCAAGTTATTTTATGGCCATTTTGTATTTCCAAATATTATATTTATATGAAATGCACAGTAATTGAATGATACGTACTAACACATGCTTTCCCATTCCAAAATTCTTCACCAAAAATGTTTTTACAAAATGAAACATACCTAAGATCTTCACTTCGACTAAACAATGAATGCGGTATTCGAATTGATAAAAATGTTAGATCATCAACAGGTTTATCTGAAATGAAAAATGAATGTTAATAAATGTGCAGTGTCATTAATTTGCTTAATCTTCATCAATAAAAAAACTGAAGCTATTATTTAATAAAGTCAGTAAAATCTTGTTCTTTTGAATTAATTTTCATATTTTATACAAATATTTGGTACAGTACAAAGTTTGAAATCTGAACGTCCATTATCCGGAATGATCTAAAATCTGGACCTGAAAACCACCAGCAACGTTTTTTATCGCAGGTTTTACACATGCACATTTGATTTCCCCTCCGTGCATAATAAAACATTAGGAGAGTCCCGATTATTAATTTTACTTCGACAAGAAATAAAATACCTGATCGTTGTTATTGGAGAAACAATCATTTTAGCATAAATTTGTACGATCAGTACGTTGGCTCTGTTGCTGCATATCTGCTTGACACATATCTCAAACCGAAACATTCCAAATAGATACATCGTTGATCTGACGCCAACCTAGCGAATCTTTATTTATTATATTTTCCTTTCATCACTGCATGTTTATCAAAATATTACAACTTGTGCGGGCCCTCAATAAGGCTTAAGTATATGTGGGAATTAATTTATTCAGACCTCTTATAAGCCTTAAGCATGTGCAAGAAATAGACATAACTATAATAAATAACTAAACTGATACAATTCAGGCTTAATTGTCTATGCGCGATAGAAGCAAGATAAAATTTAATGGAATAACTTGTTGTTAGTTGCCAAGCTCACGATGCATAGCCAAATATGTATAGTGAAGTTTTTTTTTTTTTTTAATTTTGATACCCTTTAGATCCTAAATACTTCATTATTTCATATTTTTAATTTTATAATTTCTACATGCCCTCTTACTAGATTTAAACTGATGATCTAATATCTGGAAAAATCCCAAATCCAGAATTGCCAAAGTCCCGACGAGTCCAGATTTCGGACTTTGTACTGTACTTTCTGATTATCCACATGCCCACCAAAATGTCATAAAGAAGTATTTGTAAAGCAATGTATCATGTCACCAAAAAAGTATTCATGTAGCCATTCAAGATGCTTCCAAAATGTATTTATGTAACAAATCAGATATGCATGTAGCACATACTTGTTTGAGTATACATGAAATTGCACTTTTGAAATTTATTTTCTGGTTTGATATTTCTTTTTGCATTGAGTACATTTGTTTTTGTCAAAATAAATCATAATAGAATTGGTGCAAATTTTGCCCTTTTTTTTTATCTTCATTAGGTTGGAACGTTTCACTGAAGTGACAATTGCTGTTGGATGATCGTATTTTTTTAAGTGAAAATAAACTACTGTGTATGCTGGAAGAACAAAAGTGAAAAACAGTACAAAAGAATTTCTCATAAAAGTGTTTCATTATTATACTAAATGTAGAGAAAAAAAAAAAAAAAAAAAAAAAAAAAAAAGGCAGCACTGGATGCATCATCATTAAAATAAACATAGATATCCAAACAAACAAAGTTGATAAGGCCCGACTTTTCCATGGAGTGTGCATGCATAATCAAAAAGTACCAATTATTTTGCAATGCATGACATATCCTAAGCCACTATCTGCCACATTTATGAGTGCATTGCTTAAATGTTTGATAATTTGGTAAAATTAGGCGATGGGAAGAAATCAGAAGTTATGAACTCAACTATTTCCTATATCTTGTTTTATTTATTACGCACTTGACAATTCATATAGGGGTAGGATGGACAGCTTAACCTCATATTGACATTTAATAACTGATGAACTATGTTTTGTTCTCATTTCACTAAATGACATGTTTCATGATGAATATTCATTGTCAAGTGTCCCCTCCCATGATATATACATAAGTTCTATTCTCAATATTTTTTTTTTTCACTTTTCTGAACTATTGGGTGTACAAATAAGTTTTGAGGGATTTAAATAAGATGGCGTTATTAATATTAAATCCTATGGGACAATCTTGTAGCTATATGCATGTTAAAGTCATTTCCGTGTAAAAATCAGTCTGTTTCATTTTGCTGAAGTGTAAACAACAAGCTTTTTTTGTGCTCAGCCAATGTCAACCTTTGTAGCAACAAAACAAAATTTGCAGGAAGTGCTTCTTTTTTGTTTTAATTTGAAGAAAAGTGCAACTGATGCACATTGATTGCTGTGTGAACCATATAGGGAACATGCTCCATCAATAAAACATGTGACCAGTAAATTTTAAGATGCTGAGTTGGAGGGGTTATTGGGCCAAAATTCATGCCAAAGAGGAGCTCGCCAAAACCTTGGGTGTGACTTGATAAATTATTTAAAAGCATCTCAAGGCCATGGATATGGTGCAAAAACAAAGAAATTGGGTTCTGCATGAACTTAAGCCAAGAGACGTCAAATATTGTTTTTCACCTGCAAACAACTTATGCTTCAAAAGCTTAATTGGAAGGGTTTTGCATCGAATTGTGATGCGGAACGAAAAATGAACCTACTACGACAACCCAAAGAACAGAAAATTTTGGTGTTAGCCACAACGGTCAAACCAAACAGTCATGGCAAGAAGTTAATGTAGGGATCAGCTTAGAGTGATCTATTATGAGCTATTTCAGCCTTATGAAACCATCACTGGAAAACATTATAAACAACAGTTGATGCAACTGAAACAAGCATTGAAGCTCAAACACCCCCAATATGCCAAAAGACATGACAAAATGAACTTTCAGCACAACAACGTTCGCCCACATGTTGCAAAAGTCATCAGGAAACTTTGGAGGCACTTCAATGGGATGTTCTACCCCATCCGCTGTATTCACCAGACATTGCTCCTTCTGACTTCTACTTGTTCCAGTTAATGGCTCATGACTTAACTGAGCAGCACTTCACTTCATACAAAGAAGACAAAAATTGGGTCAGTTCTTTGATCACCACAAAAGATGAGGAATTTTTTAAACACGGAAATAGTATGCTACCTGAAAGATGGAGAAAATTCGTAGCTAATGATGGATAATATTTTGAATAAAATACATTCTTCCAATTTCACCGAATAAAACTTCAAGATTATGACCCCCCCCAAGAGCTCAAAACTTATTTATACACCCAATATTTGAGAATTAATTAGATATCAATTTTAAAATGAATATGTTTTAATTGTCTAGAAGGACAGAAATGTTACTCAATATTCCCTAATTATTGAAAGGTTTAATAAAAAAGGCTAATACCCCCCTGATGATGTCAGCTTTATTTCATTGAATCATCAATAATTAATTATTATTTTCATATTCAATTTTTAATTTAATTCAATTTGTACTTTAATTTTTTGTAAAACATTTTTGGCTATTACTAAATTTACAATAGTTTTCTCACACACCATCATTTCCAAAAATAATCTGGATTTAAAAATTCTACAATTTTATTAATTATATATGCACACACACACAGGATGGTCCAAAATTTTGTAGAAAATATTTAAGGTAAATAAAAATAAGCCACTTGGATACAAGAGCATGTGGAATGAGCGTGTTATATACACAAGGAGATTAAAAAATAGAAACATGTGAGCAGTTATATATGTAGTACTGTAATGTAAATCATACAACTGCATCCTGTAGTATAGAATAGCAGCCAGCAGCGTCAAATAAAAGATGCTTAACTAATCTTGTATAATCTTATTTTTCATGCGTTAATAATTCATAACTGCATTATGCAAATATGATAATTTAATATGTTTATTAGACATATCTATATTTAAATTTCAAAGGATTGGATTGGATTGGATTGAATTATTTAATTATGGCAAAGCACACGAGGGCTATCTGCCTAAAGGGAGGGATGCTTTCGTGGAGGAATTTCTAAGGGAAACTGGCTCATATACACGTTACACAGGGGGAAAACCATGAAAACGCCCATGCAGCTAGCCCGTTCGTGGGATTAGAACCTCGGACCGAATTACCAGTGTTCAGCGTCATTACCGCTCGGCCGCTGGTGGGCTGCAAATTTCAAAGGACATGCATATCTCAGATTATGTTTTAATTAAAAAATATTTGTGCCCTTGTTGGTTCCAAAACAGCTGTGTTATTCATCTGCTTCTTTTGTTACACCAACTCCCTGATGACAATGCAGCAAAAGTTTTTAATTTCATATTTAATTTTTGGTTTTGCCATATTTTGCCCCTTATTTCTAGCACATTACCACAGTGCTTCTGTTTTTTGGTTTTTGCATGTATTTATTAAGATGTGAATATGTGATGAAATATAAAACTACAGTCAAAAAGTCGTTAATTCGGACACCCATAATCCGGACCTCAAAGCTAAAAACTTTCTGCGCATGCGCTGCGTTGGCACATGCGCACAGGCGTTTTACGCGTGCGCGTAAGACCTTGACTACTGCGCATATGCGTGTGCGCAAGTGCAGAATACGTTTTCGCCTGCGTGTTTAATATATAACGGACGGTGTAAGCTAAAATGATTTAATTATCTATTTCAGTTAATGTTAATGATTGCGTTGTTCCTTAATCTTCGAATTGGATCCCGCTTATTATTTTTTGCAGACTGTAAGAGCAATTTTATAAAAGTAAACTTGAACTTTCGATTATGTCAAATAGAATTTCCAATGCTGGAACTTCCAAAGGATCTACAAAACGAAAGTATGTTTCGATGTCCAACAAACAAAAAGAGGAATTGCTGCAAAAAATGGATAAAGACATGAAGAATGTGACAGAGAGGTTAGTGAAAACGAAAAAATTTTGATTGACAAGTTAGTCGGTATTCTCGGCACAGCAATTAACGGGCCTTGAACAGCGGAACTTTGTAACTGAACAAGAAATTATGTCTGTTTATAGAATTAAAGAGAAAGTATTGTCACATAAAATGAAGCAACTTAAACAACTTACATTGAAAAAAATGTTTAATAAAGTAAACAAATAAATATTAAGCTTTTTTTTTTTGTAAATTTTGATACCCTTTAGATCATAATTGTTCTTTATTTCATAAATTACGGTTTCATATTTTTAATTTTAGAATTTCTGCATGCCATCTTACGAGATTTAAACTGATGATCTATAATCCGGAAAAATCGATAATCCGGAATCGCCGGAGTCCCGACGAGTCCGGATTAACGACTTTTGACTGTATTTTTTAATTTTGTGTACATATACATATACAATTAATATAAATGAATAAATAAAATAAGTAAATAAATACATATAAATGAATGAATAAATACAAAGTAAAAAGCAGTTCAAAAAATAATTTAATTGCACATTGAGAGAAGCAATAAATAATGATAATAATTCAAAATAAAATAATAATTAATACATTTAAAATTTACATTAAGAAGAATAAGTTCTTTCACAGATCAGGGGAATGTAGACTTCCATTTCTTGTATGGAATTACAGATCTTAAGCATTTATTCAGAAATTGAAGTAAAATAGTGTTGATTTATGAAAAGAAATTAGAAATTAGAATCCAGAAAATTAATTATCTTTGTTGATGATTTGTTTGATGTTGTCAAAGAATTATTTCTCAAAATATTTTAAAAAATTAAACCAGTTGTGTTGTTGTTGTTGTTACTAATCCTCGAATCCAGCTTCTGCTAGATGAGGTCCACAAGTTTATTCAACTTCAAAAAGTAATAAACTAGCATAGGAGACTTAATCAGGTCATCGCAGGATAAACCCAGACACCTAAGGATATGTGCCGAAGAAGCTTGCTTATTGTTACATTTCAGACAAATCGGGAGTGTTTTTTGGAAAGCAAGGCTTTCTTAAACTGCCGGGATGTGGAAAACTGGAAATGTGCGGGAAACTGGAATGTGCTGTCTGGATGCATCTGTCTCAGTTCATAGTGAGGGATTCTTCAGGGGATTCAAGCCGGTACCAAGAGTGGGTCAGAGGGACAAGCCAAGTCATTTTATCAGTATGTTTTCTGGCAGAATACAGCTCAAGGTAAGTCAGACAATTGAAAGTAGCCAGAACTCTTTGGCACCCTTCTTGGTCAGGACGTCTGCCTCTTCATTTCCCCTAATTAATTCCACAAATTATTGCCTTCCAAGAAAGTTAAGTTAAACCAGTTGTCCTTTCCACAAGTATTTACATATTATAAGATGTGTGCAATTAGCACAACTTCAATTGTGTAGCCAAACCATTTTAAATGGCTTCACACATGACCAACATCCTACTCATATCAGCAAACATTATCAAAATTTAATTGGTAGGACAAGAGGTTAAAACACATGTATGGTTCTAATAGGACAGAACATACCATGCTTCATGCAGATGTGCAAAATGCTTTAAATACAGTATTCGCAGAGAAATGGATTGGTTATGATGGTTCCGTTGGAATGACTGTTTGAAATCTAATGCCTGAAATTTTTGTAATATTGCCATTAGAAAGCTTCACCTTTGATAGACCATTTGTGGAGGCCCTTGTTGCCAGAATTTCTACTGCCACTTTAAGAAATTGCTAGTGTTTTCGCTAATGTATACCAATTACACATCAAAGGTGTGGAACTGATATTAATGTTGGTGGTCTTTCTTTTAAGCAGCTTCTGTAATTTAATAAAATTTATTCTGCAATTATCTCAACTTTTTCATTCTTATTTGTGATTCTTATTTTATCCCCTATTTCATCACAGTACAGGACAGGGCAGAATAGGACAAGGAGAGGACAAGACGACACAAGACATATTTGTTTGGAGCAGAGTATTGCCAATAGTGGTTTTTTTTAATTGGCATAACAATAGAAAAAGAAAAAATAATTAGATTTGGAAGAAGTCAGATTTAACTAATATAGCAGACTGCATTTCTCCTTAACTAATTTCATCCAGCCTATCATTTTTTGCAAACTTTTATTGTTATGCTTATCAAAATTATAGAATGAATTTTCGATTATATTGAAAAGTATAATTAGCAAGAGCTGTAGCAAGATCTATGAAACAAAAGCATATTTGGTACTTGCCTTCTGCGGTAGCCTTGGCATAAGAAAATGGCATTGGAGCTATTCAGGCTTACGAAAATACAATTTTAAAATTAGGCAAAAAAGCAACCTTATTTTGGAATAGATTTTGAATACTATAGAAAGTCAAAGTTTTCCAGGCAATTTAATTTGTGAAGAAATGTGGAGAAGCAATAATAAATGCAGATGATAATAACAGAAGCCTCCATTGTGATAGTGCCCCAATCAGCAATCAACTAACAAATACCAAATATGTAGTATGGTTTCAAATACAAGAAAATATCGATACTGATAGTGCCAAAGATATTTTTGAGAATGAAAAAATTTTGATTGACAATTTAAACAGAATTTTCGATCTCGTAATTACAGGACTTGAACAATGAAACTTTAATTGAACAAGAAATTACATCTGTCTATTAAATAAAAAAGAAGGTATTAGCACAAAAAGCTAACAATTATTTCATATTTTTAATTCTATAATTTTTACATGGTACTAGATTTAAAAAGATGACCTAAAATTTAGAAATTTCCAAAATCTAGATATCATTGGAGTCCTAATGATTCTAGATCTTGGACTTTGCAGTGTGGTATGATTTTAAAACAGGTTTAGAGCCAATTATTTCTCTCTATAAAATGCCTTGTTTTGTATTCCAGATTTTTTTCACTTTTAGTTTTACTTCTATATAAACAAGAATACAATTTTTAATAACACATACATGACATAAAAAATCTTACTTTCTTCCAGAATTGAAAAAAAATTCGTAAACACGTACTCCGAAGAAATCGCAGAAACGTCTAGGAAAGAAAAAAATTAATTAAATTCTTTTACAATTTTCAATACACTCTGCATCTTAAACATGGGAAAATATGTGAAATCTACAAAATATGATTACAAATTTCTTAGTATTATGATAACATGAAATTTCTTATTATCATAATAGCTAATACACACACTGGCCAATGAATTAGAAACCCAAGATCAGTATTTTATTGGACTACCTTTTGCATGGATAACTGTTCCGATTCGCTTGTGCATCAAGTTTACACGTTTGTAGAGTGCATTTACATCCTGAGAATACAAAACATTGGCTATGTAGCCTTTTAGATCTTGTAAATTAATGGAAAAGGAGAGTGCTGTTGGATGCGTCTTTTCACCATATCTTATACATTTTCTATGGGGTTAAGATCCGGGCTATGCGGTGACCAGGGAAGGTGTTGGAAGTCAGACAGATGTTCAACAAACCAATTTTGAACACTTCTGGCATGATGTATACAGTGGAACCTCGAGATACACGAGTTTAATTTGTTCCAGCATTGACCTCGTATAGTGAATTTCTCGTATCTAGAAACAAACTTCCCCTTTGAAAATAATGGAAATCCAGTTAATCCATTCCGTACCCCCAAAAATATCAACATATAAATCAAATTTCCTAATAACACTGGTAAATAATAATTGGTGATTTTTGGAGAAGGTCCAAGGACACATTCTTAGCCTTAGTGCAAATGACAGATTCTGCCACCGAATTACCTTTGAACTGCTTCTCGTTAATCCACACCAACAACAGCTTCTCAACATGTTCTAGGAGTTTTGGACAGTGCTCGAAAATAACGATAATTCCTTTGGCCACATCAAATTTCTTCCTTCATTTTCAGAATAGTACAGATTGTCGATGTTGAATGGCCTTAAGTCTTCCTCAATTCTGCCACTCTTACACCCACACTTATGTTTATCTATGATTTCTTTCTTACTTTCAACAGCCATGGATTTCTTCTTTTTCTTTGAAGCACTATCTGAGCCAACAATGCTCTTGGGAGGCATCGTGAAATAATTATTTTCATGTTAAATGTAAAAAAACAATTAACTCACAAGCGCATAAACACATATATCAAAGAACACTCAGTGACCTAACGAGGGAATTCCCCCAGTCGAGCCGGATTGGGGAACACAGCGCACATAGCAACTACATGGCTCTTTACTCTAGTGAAAGCTCATATTTGGAGATGGATTTTTCGCAAATACTTTCTTTATATTTCAAATTTCTCGTATTTAGAAGCGGTCATAATGTGAGGTTTCACTGTATTATCGTCCATGAGGGATTCATGTAAATCATCATTGTAAAAATTGTAAAAATGAAACACTGCGAAGTGCACTTGATCTGCCAGTGTATCTAGGTATTTCATGGCTATTAGTTTACTCTTGAGGAACACCAGGGCACCGCTTCCATGCCAATAGGACATGCAACATATCATGATACTCCTACCAGACCCTTACACAGTGCGAGAAAGGCAAGATGTATTCATGGCTTCATGGGGTTCTTGCCAAATTTGACATCATCCATCAGTGTCAAATAAGGTATAGCAGGATACATCTGACCACATTACCTATTTCTAATCCTCAGATGTTCAATGTCTTCTTTCCTGATACCACTGCAAACAAATTCTTACACGTTAGGCAAAAATGAGTGCTTTTCTCACAGGCACTCGACTATGCATTCCTATCCTCTGCAATTATCTGTGTATGGTTCGAGCAGAAACCTGTTGGGAAGAGCCTTGGTTGATAATCTGTGTCAGTTGAAGCACAATAGAGTCCCTGTTCTGCCGTACAATTCGTCGGAGATGCCGCCGATCATCCTCTTTGAAACCTGTGCTTGAACCGCAGTTATGTCTTCTAGAGAAGGGCTTTCTTGCAACCATAAGACCTGTTCCCAGAGTAAAACATCTGGGATAATATAGGCCACCATGTTAAGATGCCACAGTTGCCATAAAAACTGCAAAAGTAACAAGACACAGTCTGATCTGCATGGGATGAGCTAATGCAGAGCTGCGTCATTAATCTGATTCCAACTTTTTAAAACCTTTGATATGGCTGCTTTTGAAAACTCAGTGAGATTTGCTGTCTTCAAAATCGAGGCCTCTGCTAAACGGGTACCAAAAATAAACCCTTTTTCAAATGATAAAAGATGTGTCGTTTTTCCCATTTTACTTCATTCATCATGAAGAACACTCTTACACCTTACTTATACTAGCATTCTAACAAAATGTAACCCACGCCATAAAAAGAATTTGCATTCTTCATCCCCAGCATGCATTCAAATGAAAATCTCAAAAGTTTCTAAATTCATTGGCCAGTGCAAGTACAATTTTCATGTATAAATTATTCATTAATGTCATATAAACTCTAATTTCAAATTAGATTTAAAATTTCAGAAATAAGAAAAGAGAGAAGTTCAATTACAAAATATGTTTGAAATGCCTCAAGTAGAAATCAAATTTGTAAAAAATATATAGTCATCATTATTTATTATTAGTCGCCAGCTACTTAGCATAGTTATTACGAAAGAGGGAAAAGTCTAATGTTGACCTCAGTCTAATGTTGTAGGAAAAAGTCTAATGAGTCCAGTTAGTATTATTTCATAAAATATTTAATATTTCTGATTAGATATCTCACGATTTAAATGCATTTTTATTTATATAAATCAGATTAAAAAATAGAAAAATATTCCTTTAAAGAACTGCATTTATTGCTTTTTAAATCCCTCAGTTTATTAATCTACAATAGACAAATTAAATTTGAAGGTTTAAATATATACTTAACTGAATGGCAACATACTGACGTGTGGAAGGTAAAAGTATTTTTTTTCAGGGTGGGGCAATACATTGCCTTTAAATAGCTAAGTTTGATGATTAAAACTGAAAGATAAGTTATCTTACGTTTTGACAAATGGCAACATTTTGGCACACTGGAGGAAAAATCTTTTATTTTGAGCAGTGTTGTCATTGTTTGCTTTTAAACCACCGAGTTTGTAAACAAAACAAAAATTATTAAATTCATATGATATGTTAAATAAATAGAAAACTAATTCAAAATTCTAGCTTCAAAGTGCATGTGTTCAAAAAGAGGCACACATGTGTTCAAAATTTGTGGCTCTAGGTACCACCAATTTTCTGCAGTGTGAGGAACATACATACATATAGATTCTTCATTATTTAATAGTAGAGATCACAAAGCATATATATATATATATATATATATATATATATACACACACACACTTATCACCAACTGGCAGAACAAGAAAGCTATCTACCTAAATGAAATCAAGCATAAAATTTTGTCACCAATTAATATGCAAACAATTCAGCTACTACAAAGATCAGCAAGGATGAGGCTTATTAATAGTGTGGCTCATTACTTGTTACAGTGTGGATTATTACTTGCCACACTATAACAGGTCGTCCAAAAGTGCATAACTTTTATTTTGACAAGTCACATTATATTGAAACTATCAGTTTAAAGTGCACTGTGCCTTCAACAGCAACTTCAATAAATAATATTTTCGAAAAGGGCTGCATCTTAGAACTGCAAGAAAGCAGACAGTCATTCCCCAGCACAACACATCATATCAGATACATGAAATGTACTATCACATACTGTAACACTGTTTTCAGGCGGCAGACAATCACAACATATAGGCTCTCGAAGAGCTTTATACACAACAATAAAGGAAGATATAAAAGTTGTGTTAAATGCTTGAATTAACCCATCTACCATGATTGCATACATTCAGCAAGTAGTGATATCCTCACTGCAGCATTATATGAATGCCAGTACCATTAGCAGACAGCTGCATGCTGCTAGATTACAGGAATACAGACCATTACAACTGTTCCTGACACAACAATATCATCACCCCAGACTGCAATGGTGCTGCGAGACAGCATAACGAAACTATGCTGAATGGCAATGGGTAGCCTTTAGTGATGAATCTCATTTTCATTTTGGAGCAGAAGCAAGATGGTTAATATCAAAAATTAATGTTTTACAGTCCATAGCTATATCCAGATATCATGGTATGGAGTTTGATTTCATATAATGTCTGATTACTAATGGTCTTCACCACAGGCACTTTGACAGCCTAATGATATGCTAATAAGATCTTTCAAACAGTGGCCTTGTTATTTATGAATGCCTGCTTAAGTGTTCCATTCCAAAGGGAAAAAGCTTTATCTTCATATTGCTGGCATCACAAGGGCTTTCTTGCAACCATGGATATTCTGCTGTGCAAACAAGACCTGATCCCAAAAGAAAACATCTGGGATAATATAGGCCACAATGTCAAGACACCACAGTTGCCATAAAAACTGCAAGAGCAACAAGACAGTCTAATCTGCATGGGATGAGCTAATGCAGAGTTACATCATGAATCTTTACAAACCTATGCCATGATACAAGGCACAATGCATTAGAAACAATGGCAGCCTGATGCGAGTTAAGACATATTTGTTAAGCTGTGCAATAAATATTTGACTAGCTTCTTCCCAGACAGCATTTAAACCCAAAACTTTCTTCTGAGTGCAATTTTTTTTAGACAATGAGTTTATGTCACAAAAAAAAAAAAAAAGGAATTTTTGTATGTCTGTGTACACAACACTTCACATACAAACACCTTTATATATTTATGCATGTTTTACACATACACATATCTCTTGGCTCTTTCTATATATATTCATATGAGCATTCTACAGTAGCCAATGCTCCTTTTAGAATTAATAGAAATACACTTACCTACAGGTGACTGAAGAAAATCCATAGACACCAATTTTAGCAAAATAACAGCTAGTTGATATTCACTTTCAAATGCTAAGAATAGACATAATATTTAGCAGGTAAATTTTTTGTGAAGGATAACATTTAAAAAAAGAGGGAAATGAGATTTAAATTAAAAAATTATTTTAAGAAAATTAATTATTTATTTCTAAACTAATGAAGTTACTGAAAACTGAAACTGCTAATTTATAACTACTAACTTTCTAATTAATAACTAACTATAACTTTTCACATTACCCCCCCCCCAAGCAGTGCAAAGCATTATGTAGTCCAAATGGAAAACCCAGAATATGTATTTTAAGTGGCAACCCACAAATGGTTATACGTGTATTGTGCCAGCATGTAATGGGCACCGTTTTGAAATTCCCATGAAGCAAATGATCGAATTGTATCAAAATTTACTATTAAAGATTGCCATTAAAATGTTTGAATGCATGTAGGAAATTGGTTTCAGAATAGCTGAATATCATTTATAACAATTATTTTTAGAATATCCTTAGGCAGCCATTTAAAAAAAAATAACTACTGTTTCACATGTTAGACTGGAAAAAAGTATTTGCGAATGATTGATGACTTTACTTGGACAGATAACACAAAAGTACCCTAATAGTTTATTAAAAAATAAATTTATTTTAAGACTTACTTTTAAAATATAACATGCATATTACATATTTCTATGCATTCTGATTTTTACAATACATAAAAGAATAAAATATTTTGAGGAGAAAAGACAAAAATATCTGTGTTAAATAAGTACTTATACAATGATGATGAAAACTACATAATCAGAAGTAGCCACAGGTCTGTGCTGTAACCCTCCTGAACAAAGCAAAACTTTTAAAAAATGCAAAGGCAAAGAAGTTAACAATCTGGACTTTATGAAAATATAATACTATCTGCAAAAATAAGTTAAATGAGTTAAAAAAGGAAGGAAAATAGTTCTATATCTCCCATTCTAGTCAACTGATTGATGATGTAGGATTGCTGTAACATGAGCATTTCGAAATAAAATTGAACTTTTTCTATAATGATGTGACAATTGCTTTCCATAATTCTACACCTTAAATTCTGCACAAATATCAAACTTTGCAAAAATCATGACATAAATCACTTTGGAGATATTCACATTTAAAAGTTGGCAAAAATTTTCAACTTGGTGTGAAAATTTAGCTTGTCGAACATATACTTTAAATTATTAACCCTAATTTACTTTTAAAAAAATTCTTCAATGAATGACTGCAAGCTAAAATCTTTTAGAAATTTGTGTTATTTCTGCATTTTAAGTATTCGTTTGAAAAATATTAAAATTTTCAAGTTGCATATTAAAAAATAATCAAGATGTCAAAATATTTAGAGGATTTTAAGGAAAGGAAGTTCCTTTTAAATTTTATTCATCTGGAAATAAAATGTGATATTTAGGATCAAGTCAAATGATCACTACCATGTCAAAGATTTAAAATTTGGATTTAATGAATATGCCATGATATGTAAAAAATATTAATATGAGTGAAGAGTAGATTTAAAACTAGTCAGATCAACCATCCTCAAGTATTTTTTATGAATTATGACATAATAAACTTATGTTTAAATTTTAGTGAATTAATAAGTATCAATAAAGCCTTGTATAGTTCTGCTCACATAAAAGTTTAAACCAATGCCTTCCAGGCTCTAGTAGACTGACAAGTGAGTTATCAGTCTAGTCTGAATTCAAATGAGAGCCTTATGAAGGTTAGAATAGCCTTTCTATTTAGTCTTTGAATTTAATAGAAGGCTCCTTTTTGCACTATAAGACAAAATTCTGCCATCTGCAGGTTTTTAAAATAACAAACTGAAATTCAAATTTAAATAACATAGTCTGACTACAAAAAAAAAAAAAAAAAAAAAGTCTACCTAAGCTGGCTCAAGTAATTAAAGCATGTTTTAACATCAGCTAGCAAATGGCTCAAAGCCAGAATAAATGGTGGCGGAGCTGGCGACAGGATATGAACTGCAAGTGAGGCTGCCAGAAGTTCTAACTCTAACCATTCAAACCCTTGGCTTAAACACTCTACAACTACTTTGCATTCTAGTAAGGACTATGGAAAGAAGATATTATAGTAAAGTTTCAAATCATAAAAAATGGTTAATTAACATAAAACCCAAAATTTTTCTCCTCCAGAATTTAAATGAATGAAAAATAAAATCCTAATGAATTTGGATAAGGTTTCAAATTCTAATTTGAAAACATGTGCCGTTCTTCCATTTAAGTTCTTACAGCTAAATTCACATTTTACACCAGTTTAATTTACATATTCAGACCACTGCAGACATTTGTCTCACATCTTCTTCCTGAATCTACATGTAGAAATAGTTTAGAAAAGAAATATTTAAGCTAAACAATATGCATGTACCAGAATAACTTTTCACAACTCTTTTTTCCTCCCCTTACCTCTTTTTTTCACCCCACTCTCCTGCTTTATATTGGGTGACGCAGTAATGATCTTTGTAATGTTCTTCCCTTTTAGCATAACGAATAATTTTTCTGTTATTCATTGCAAGAGGGGTGTCAGAATTCATAAAAAATTCAAAAAGTTCCTTTTTCTGTTTCCTTATGTTGTATACAGTTAGTTGCCTTTCCAATGCCATACTTCTCGCATAATGTTTAGGCGGATATACCTTTATCCACTTTTTGCAGCAATTCCAGTTTTCATTTAATGGATATCAAAACATGCTTTCACTTTGTAGATCCTGTTGCAGCTCCAGAATTAAAAATTCTTTTCGACATAATCGAAAGTTGAAATTTTAAAAAGCATTCATAAAATTTCTGTAATAAAAACAGAAAAAAATAATTAAGCTGGACCAAATCAAAAAGTTAAGGAACAGCGCAATCTGTTATATTGACTGAAATTCTTTGGAATCAGTAGAGTATAATTTGAACCTAGCTTAATAGTGTCCACTATATATTATTGGTTATGTATCATGAGGTTGGAGATGAAAGACAAGTTGTTCAGCTAAATTTTGTCTTGCTTCTATCGTGCACTGAGGCAATTAAAGCCTGGTTGTTATTTATTATACTTACGTCTATTTCTTGCACATTTTTATCTGAGTCCTGAAAAAATAAATTCCCACATATCTTATCGAAAGCTGGCGCTATCTTACCTCCTGATGCAGCCTCTGGCGGCTTCTAAATTCTGCTACCAAGTATCTCTCTAAGTTTTTAAATTTTTGCCATCCCTAAATTTTGGATCCCAGTACTTTCCCTAAATCCCCAAAATATTTTCATCCCTTAATTTTGTTGCTCGGTGCTTCTCTTTATTCCAAAAATCTTGTCTTCCCTAAATTCTGCTGCCTGGTTCGGCCATACGAGCTTTGGAGCCGGTTCTGTGTGTATGTGAAAAACAACTCAGTTATTCTTCTGCCTATGAATATTATTAACAAAATCTATTTTTAGCATTTGGAAATAAATTTTTGTTAAATTTTTTCTCATCAGTATTTCTTAGCGCATTTAACTTAAATCTGTAATTATTGCCAAGCATAATTTTTAATAAGATTTGGCAACATTGTAGCTGACTTTTTGCAGCAGGTTTGGAAGTAAATGATGGTTCTAATCTGGTAGCATGATAGTTCCATTTCAAACACCTTAATGATTTTTTAGAAATTTTACATCACAGTGTTTTAAAGCAAGTATCTTTCTTTCAACTGCCAAAAAATCGTTTGACAAAATATGATTAAACATGCCAAAGCGAATTGTTTGCGCAGATGATATTTGCAGTGGCAGGAAACTTCCATTAAAACCAGATATTTTGCATCAGATAATCACATAAAGCAGTAATTTATTTTAGAATTTGACAAGATTGGGGGGGGGAGACATAATAAGTGCTTCTCCGAGATTTACATATTTAAAAAACTGAAGTTTATTACAATACACAATTTTGGGAAGTATATCCTTTCACGCTGCAAATCCTTTTTCATTTTATGTAAATTTGACAACTGATTTCTTTTACTCAACCTTTCTTCTTTTTCAGTAATTACATGTTTAACAAATTTAGATTAAGATAACATGCTGAATAATGATTATTGGAGAAATCAAACAAGAATTAGCGTAATATTTGTAAATTTTGTAGGACTAGTTTCAATGGTTTAATAACAAAATGAACTTCAGTACTTTTCCGTTTCGCCGCCGCAAATCTCGCCAAGCAGACTTTATTGGCGACAACATACAGTATATAGATTCAAAATGTTGGTTCTAAGAGTTTTTTTTTATTTTGAAGGCATAAACATTTTAATATTGTTTAAAATTTTGTGAAATGCCTGTAAATAAAGACAATAAATTTGTAAAAAGATATTAATTTAAGAATTTACCATGCTTTCATGGTTCAACATCCTGATTCGTCGGTTCATATCATGTGACCCCAAGTGATCTCATCTTGTATAAACTACACTACAACAAATCGTCTACATTAATTTCAAGTTAAATCTTAATTTGGAATTCAAGTTTAAATGCAAGAATTATTTCAATTCGTACGAATAGCTTACTAAAAAATTATGTAAAACTGTAATGCTTTACTTCACTAGTGCATTTTCATTAGAATTGATGAATTTAAACGTTGACTTTGCCTTTTCTATATTTTCGCCTTCGGGTGAGCAGTGTGATTGCATCCTAATTGACTCAATTACCGCGAACGGCCTTAGGGCATAAAATTGAACTATCTGATAAAAATTCTATGTAATTGTATGCCAGTATTGAAAGATACTATCAATCTGATAAGAAATAGCTGCGATTTTTTTTTAAAATGATGTGTAAAAGGTTACCAGTGAGGATATTCCGTTTAGAATCATACCATTATTGGTGATTTTATCGCCTGCGCCGGCAAAACAGAAGAGTACTCGAACTTCTTCAGTTGCCTAAGTGCAAATGAACAAGATAAAATAAGAATGGTTGGACAGAAGTTAAGCTACTAGCGCCATCTATGGATGAAACAAGAAAACTAAAACATAATTTCCTTAAAGGCTGAAACTAGATTCGATGAATCAGCTCCCTCAGGTATACTTCA